GCATTACTCACAGAGAATCTTTTGGACTTCGGACTCTTGTTTTAAAGATGCAGTCCCATGGATGGCGAGTGACTTGTTACTTTTTATAACATCAGTGAAGTGAATGGAATGCTTTCGGTTCTTCAAATGCTGTAGCAAACTATCAGCGTTTTCGCGAACCAAGGTTATAGGGTGATAAGGTTATCGAATGCTCCTAAAACTCTATAGCAATAACAGGGTAGACCATACTCTCCACGGCTGCGCCTTCTGTCTTTCGTAAACTGGTCCGAGATAATAGGAGTATGTAGACCTCAATACGAAGTTATGTCCGCGATCTGACAAACGATTATGTTTCATATAACATCGCCTAGAATGCCGCGACACATCCGGGACCTTTTGCGTAGCCAATAGCGCTAAATTTGAATTCTCGTAATTGAAAACAGGCGAAACAATAAAGAAAATGGCCGAAAACGGCCTAATGCCTAGTGTGTTTTACCAATTTTTACACAACTTAGCCCACTTAGCGATAAGGTACCCTCTGGCTTTTGTGGAAGAGGTGTTCAGCTTTTATTTAAGACGCTCATCCAAGTCGTTGGTCTTCGATAAGTTTTATCAAAGTGATCTTGAAAATGCGGCCGTTTCGCTCAGCATTCGTATGGAATATGAACTGATTAGTATTCAGATTGATTTTTTCCTCCACAAAAGTACTTCGTGACTTAGGTACCCTCTGGTAAAGTAAGTTTGATATCTCAACTAAGATTTGGTGGAATTTCGCGTTAATACGATGGCCACAAGTGTTATCAAAAAGATCATCTCCAAAAGCTACACCGAAATGTCCTAAAAGCCCTCGAAAGTTGTTCCCTTTGGACTCCCAAGAGAGTTCCAAGAGAGTTTTTGCCCCGCCTCTGTAGACAATAGGACGCACTTTCGCCTGACGAAGCATTGTTAAGAAGCTGTGTCATGTCACACATGTGCGCCAAATTTAAATTGAAGAGTTATAAACATCTCTGTTAACACACCGTATCGTCAGATCACAATTGTGCCTCATACCGTCCAGATATTGAAATGTTTTCCGTGCAATAAATGCAGCGCGTTGATCGGGAGCTCTCTTTAGAGCTCACAGAATCCCCGATCAACCCTGCCTTCATTCACATGTCTGCACCTTTAGTAAATGGCTACGATCCACTATACGGGGGCTCGCCAAAACCACATTTAAGACAAAGATTGAATGAAACTAACATTTCACTTGACCAAAGATTAGCTGGCTTTCTGAACATCGCTTTTTATAACCTTCAATCAGGCGTTTTTTTTGTTGTCAGTCCGCAACCGCAAGCCTTTCACACTCGAAAACCGTCTGATTACAAGTTACGCTTTTCAAACCGCCTATTCTTCATGACACTATTTTCTAAATTTTTTTATTTCCTATTTTCATGATAATAATTTTTATAATCCCGATAACATTTTGACCAACGGAAGTCTGTCAGTCCATCTAAGAATTCGCTGCAAACGAATTTGCTGAACGCTTTGTTAAGAGCGTGGCTATTGTTAATTATTGCTATTGTTCACTTTACGTCACCTTGGGATTTACTTTACGCATCCAACCGTTTGATTGACAGCAGCTGAAATCTGTCAAGAGACTCATGTATTCTCAAAGCTTTACCTGCTGACCAATCACGACCGACTAGTTCAGGATATGCAAATTATTATGCTGCCCGCTGATTAAATGGGCACTGCAAGTACATGTCGCGAAAGACAATAGCATTCTGGGCGATGAAGCGCTAGTGTCATTATCAAATGTTCATTATGTTAAGTTATGGCGTTTAATGTGTTCTGTGTAAATGATATTGGAATACCTCCGATTTTCTAAGGACACGTTATTTATTTACCTCCTAGTTCGACCAAAAGTGGATATTTCTGGAGCAAGCAATCTCATCATAGAAGGAAACAGTGTGAACTTGACGTGTAAAGTTGTGGAGGGTCGGCCTGAACCTCAGATCACATGGCTCAAGAATAATACATTGCAAGGACAGAGTTTGTCTCTCTTCTTTTCTGAGATAACAAAGGAGGACGAAGGGCGGTACACTTGCAAGGCAGAGAATGCAGCAGGCTTTGACACCAAAGACATTGACATTTCTGTAAAAGGTGTGTTCGTCAAGTGTACAGTAATTCTTTACACAACTTGATTAGTTATTTATTGCGAAGAACTGGAAAGTCTTTACACTTGTTCGTTTGTTCCTGCTCTAAAAATATGATGGTTTCATGGCTAAGCTAGTAATATAGCCTGACTAACATGGTTTTTGGAAGAATTTGTTTGATATGATCCAAAAATGGTTCATCGTTTTCTTCTTTTTAAATTGTTATTTGTTAATTTGTTTAAATTTATTGTTTTTCTTTTTAAGGGTGAGGGGGGGGGGGGGGGGGAGAGGGGGGGAGAGGGGGGGAGAGGAGGGGGGCGTTGGGTGGCTTCTAATTTTGCAATTTGTATTTATATGCTTACTTTGCAGTTCCACCCCGTGTTAGTGATGAGTTTAGAAATCTCACCATTGCATTGAACTCCACATTTACAAAAGAGTGTTATTTGAGAGGTGACCCACAAGTATATGTCAACTGGACCAAGGATGGAGTGCTACTTAATAAAAACAACACCTTAGTTATTGGACAAGTGACGTTTGAAGATAAAGGCTTTTATGAATGTACTGCTGAAAATGATTATGGAAAAGCAAACTCTTCCTTCTGGATCGATGTCACTGGTAAACTCTATATTGTAGTTTATGTCATTTATCAAACTTGTAACTTAACGAAGCGTTTGTTTTTAAGCTTAAGCCAAATTTAAATAGACCTATTTTTTCTTTCTCTTTTCATCCTTTTCCTTTAAAAATATCGATGAACAAGGAACTAAGGAGTCATGATCTTATGATACATTTTCATTAGTGTTAAAGGTAGTTCATCAACTAGGCTATGAGTGTATCATTACCTAAATATTAAGGATTGAAGTTGGAAAGAGATTTTAAATGAACATTCATATAACTTGCTTCAAATTACCAACATTAGTACTCTTTTCTTCTAGAAAAGGGTACCTGATCACGTACAGTTGATTCTGACTTACACACACCCACATTGTTATTGAAGCTGAATCCGTGACCAAAGAAATAATTTAAAACACCTTCTGCTATTAAGGAATTGCAAATCCTGGGGTCCACTTTAACATTTTTATCCGTGAACTCATATTAAAACGGACAATTTGGAAACGTCAAATGACAGATTTCCTTTCCTTTTTTTGATTTCAGAATACAATCGTTTTATATTGTTTTGATCATCATTGCCTAATAACTTTTCGAATTCAATATATACTGCTAAAAAAAGGAAACTGATAGTCATTGAACATATGTTTTTTTTTTTAACATCACACTCAACAACCATCAAGAAAAGGATTAATTTTATTGGCACAACTGGGACAACTTAAGGGCAAACGATATCTTTTTATGCTGAAGGCGACGAAAACCTTCGAAAAAATTGACGTTGGTCAAAAATAGACTTGAACATCGCGTTTTTTGTTTTGATTTTTTGTCGTTGTTGTTGTTTCGTCGTTTTATCAAGGATTGGATAAATGGGGTTAAACTGGACTACACAAACCTTATTAACTTTGTATTTTTTTTAAATTAAAGTATCTCCCCAGATTATAGAGCCTCCGATAAACCAGTCTGTTACCGAGGGAAACTCTGTGAACTTTAGTTGTCGAGCCTCAGGTGTGCCAACACCAACATTAGCCTGGGTTTTTAATAATGCTGACCTGCCATCTGGTATCAATCAATTCAATCACGAAGGAGAATCATTCCTGAAACTTTTAAGCGTTAAAAAAGGGATGGAAGGGACTTACAAGTGTGAAGCGAAAAATAAAGCAAATACAACTAGTTCCTCTGCAACTCTGCGTGTTTACGGTAAGTTTAATGTTAATGACGATAACGATGATGATGACGCTGACCGTGACGATGACGCCGACGATAACCATGACGATGACGATGACGTGACGCTGACACTGAAACGATGCTGACGATGAAAGTGACGAACGTGGACCATGATTTTAATCAATTGCTTTTTTCTTAACGTAGGAAAAGCCTTAGCTCAAATTGTTCCAGGTCAGTATCCAGCACTCACAGCAGGAGACAACCTCACATTGACCTGCATCGTTAACGAAGAAACAACAAATGTAACTTGGAAAAAAGATAAAGACTCACTACCCGAAAGAGCAAAGATTGATACACGATTCGATGAAAAAATTAGTGAACTTGCTATAACTGAAGTTAGGAAGACGGACAGTGGTGTGTATAATTGTGAGGCACGTAACAAGCTCGGTTTTGTTGCCAAGTCCTCTGTAACAATAGATGTCAAAGGTAAGTTGGCGTTACCGTTGTGTCTTAAAAAAATACTATACTGACTAAAAAATATATTTCCAAATAGATTGAAACTGTTTATCAGTTAAAGACGAAACAAACATAGGTCACCTGACCTATTTACATGAAATTACCTTGTATCACTCTATGAACTTCAGGTATTTCGTTTCAAAGAGCAGGTGTCAATCACGAGTTAAATAATGGGCAAAGCTATTCCAAACGACAACGGAAAATAAAGCAAATAAAACTAGTTCCTCTGTAACACTGCGTATTTAAGGTAAGTTTAATGATAATGACGATAACGATGATGATTACGATGACGCTGACGCTGACGCTGACCGTGATGATGACGCCGACGATAACCATGGCGATGACGATGACGTGACGCTGACACTGAACTGCTGCTGACGGTGAGGGTGACAAATGTGGAGCAGGATTTTAATCAATTGCCTTTTTCTTAACGTAGGAAAAGCCTCTGCTCAAGTTGTTTCAAATCAGTATCGAGCACTCACAGTAGGAGACAACCTCACATTGTCCTGCAACGTCAACGAAGAAACAATAAATGTAACTTGGAAAAAAGATGGAGACTCACCACTCGAAAGAGCACAGATTAATACAATACTCGATAAACAAATGAGCGAACTTACTATAACTGAAGTTGTGAAGGAGGACAGTGGTGTGTATTCTTGTGAGGCACGTAACAAGCTCGATTTTGTCTCCCGTTCCTCTGTAAAAATAAACGTCAAAGGTAAGTTGGTGTTACCGTTGTGTCTTAAAAAATACAACTTTACTGATTAAAAAATATATTTCCAAATAGATTAAAGCTGTTTGTCAGTTAAAGACGAAACAAATATGGGTCACCTGACCATTTACATGAAATTACCTTGCATTGCTCTCTAAACTTCAGGTATTTCGTTTCAAAGATCAGGTGTCAATCACGAGTTAAATAATGTGCCAAGCTATTCCAAAACTATTCCAAATAACTTGAATTTTATTAGTACTTTTACTACCGTCGAGATTTGTCTAATGGTCATTTATCTCTCTCACACAATTAGCGAAGCAAGTGCCACAAGCTATGCAAAGTTTCAACACTTTGTGGTATTACATTAGTGGATCAGTGGCGGCAGCGATTGCCATTTCGCTAATTGCCTGGCATTTCTGGAAGCGTCGAAGGACAGGTGACGTCCATTTTTCTGTGTTATTTCAGATTTCTTTGTCTGAAAGTAATAGAAGGAAATGTTTAAACCTATTAAACATGTCTACTGAGGGGGATGGGGAACACTGAGCTACGAGTCTAAGAGTAGAGATATTTTTATAAGAATTACTCGCCTGCGGCCAAAAAATGCTAATGTAGAGTTTTTTCACATCTGTATATGTATTGATAATAATTTTAAATTCAGAAAATATCGCGTCACTCCTAATTTGTGCAAATTCAAAATATTCTGCCACTTCACAGAAATTTTATTAGAATATTCGATTTAATAAATTAATGCACAGTTTTACCTTCTCTATCTCCTTTAATTCATTATTTGGAATTGCAGCTATGGCTCTGTAAGTCAACTATTTTACCTTTTATTCATCGAAAAAATTCCCCATTGCATGATGACGATAACAAAAATCATATCGCAGTGACTTTACTTTTATCGTGTTTATGATGCATTATTAACATTCATCTAGTGCTGATAGAGTCGGCTTCATTAATTCCTTTGTTTAATTTTTTTATCTCTTAAGTACCTTCCATCTATTTTCGGTTAGATTAATCAATGGATTTAGTACTTTGAAGTAAAAATTGGAATCCACGTAAAATTTTCTGATTTTAAAACCAACTGTTTCTTTATTGATTTTAACAAACGACGGGGCTATTGTTGACCTTCATCCGATTGACAAAGTGTACTTAAATAACAATAATTACTGATATATTTTGTGATAATTTATGGTCTTGGTTTAGTAACAATATTGTTTTCTCACTATCGGCAAGAGAGATTATTTCTCTTTTCTTTTTATCACTTTTCTTTGTTTTGAACCTGAAAGTATGCAATGTTAATTTCCAATATTTAGTCCTGACCAAGAGCAGGCAATTCAGATGGAGCCATTGAATGCACAGGTAGATGAGTGGGAGGTTGCGGTGAACCGTGTCCTGCTACAAGACGTCATTGGACGAGGGGCGTTCGGAGCCGTGTGGAGAGCTCTCCTGAGTTCACCCAATGGACAACCTGGAAATCGGACAGTGGCTGCTAAATGTTTTACGCGTAAGCCTCCTTCTATTCGTTACATTGATACATATGTTGTTCTCAGGGGCGGTTATAAAAACGTTTTATTTGGGCAGAGGGGGAGGAAGGGGTGGTCCAAAATTTCTTCTCAACCAACGCACACCCCCCTCTTCCTCGCTCAAGGTTACGCGCGGGAAAAAAAAGGAAGGCGGGGGGAGGAGCAAACAAACAAAGAAGATAATCAACCAGTTTGGTCATAAAAGTGATCCTGCAATAATAGTAGTGTAAAAGGTCACAGGCATAGGTTAGAAGGGGGTTAGTATGGGTTAGTATCCGCCACACCCCACTCCCCCCGGGGGGGAAGGTGTTGCGGATACGCTGGATCCTCCCTCTAGATCCGCTGCTGAATCCAGTGGGGTTTTTTTCTCCCTTTGGACCTATTCCCATTTACCAGTGACTGATTATCCCGGGTTGGAGTGGGCAGTCTAACAGACTGACTACACGGCGCTTTTCGCTGGCAAAAGACTTTTATCGGACGAAAGATGTGAAGCATCTGCAGTGATGGTAAAACTAAAGAAAACAAGAACTATTGGTAGGATTTAAACCTCAACTGGTTCCAATTCGGCCTTTATACTCACAGTCAACTCAGCTGTGGCCGAGGTCAATGAGTTGGACAATCTGCTAGCTGCGAAAATTATCATCCAAACGGTAATAAGAAGATGCGAGGTTTGTAATTCTACCGGATTCTTTCTGGCTTGAACTTGCATGGAACAAATGCATTAATCAGAACGTGTCTCCATTAATGTATACTTTTGTTGTAGCCACTGCTGGAGAGGAGGGAAGGAAATGTTTGATGAGAGAAATTGAGCTGGGGAAACTTATCGGTGAAAACGTTTCGCCAAACATTGTAAAGTTCATGGGCTGCGTTACCACACAAAGTAAGTACGAAGCGTACGGCATCTTTTCTAGGTATATGTTATTAACGATACTGCAAATGCTGAATGAACCCTCTAAGGACCTCTTAACATGAGCTCCGTAATTAGGATGTTAATGGAGCCAAGTTTGTCTTTTTTTTTTTTTTTGTGGCAACCAGACTGTTTTTCTTCGAAAGCATACATCCATCGACAGTTCATTAAGATCTCGGTCGGATAGCTTGAAATCTCGTCAACGGAGCTACTTGGCTTTCTCCCTTTAACCTATAGCAAATTTTTGAAAGTAAATTCTGATGAAGTTGGATCCTAAAAGAATGAGTCCTCTGTGTGAGCTGAACTGCTTTATGGAGAAAGCCATCAGCAATTGTATCTTTGATATAGAGTAAGGAGCCTTGACATGGGGTTTATTTGCTTTTTCTCTTGTTTTACGTCACCTAAGTTCACCCAATACTCATCATGGAGTACTTGCCATGTGGTGACCTACTTGGTTACCTCAGAAAATGCCGAGGAGTGAGGGATCGGTATTATCTTGGTGAGGGAAGAGCTCAGGATCTGAACAACTATGATCTCGTGTTGTTTGCCAAACAAATCGCCGCCGGCATGGTGTTCCTTGGAACGCGAGGGGTAAGTGGAATACTTGTCACATGTCAATTCTAACTCAGAAAAATCTTTCACAGATTTAAACATTTTATTTTTCAATAGCTCGGATTTTGGCCAACATTTATGAGTGCTTTTGAAGTAGATAAACCTCTTTGTTGACATTAGCAGGTCACTGCAGATGTCAACAAAATGAGCCAAAAGACATTAGAATAAGGTTCATTATGCGGTTGCCGAGCCTCAAAAATTTCCAGCTATGATTATCTGGAATGGTAAAAAATTAAGCCAAAAAAAAAGACAAACTCAGGCAGCTGTCAAAGCTCGAGTATGCGCTGATGGTTCATTTTGGCTAGGGGCGAGTCGTGTAAATAATCTGCGCTATAAACATACATACATATATATGTATAATATATATATATATATATATATATATATATATGTATATATATATATATATATATATATATATGTATGTATGTATGTATATAAAACCTTACTGCGACACTTAAAAAAAAAACAAAACAAAGGGAAAAATGGAACTCCCCAGAAATCTGTAAAAGGAAACAAAGGTAAAGAGAAAACCATCTCGTCTTTTCCTTTTTTGGAACACAAAGGGTCCTCTGTTGGTTTACCATTTCTAAATTTCATTTTATTATATCATAATTATTATGATTATTAGCATGGTTATGACTATAATCTTTATCATTGTCATCATTATCGTTATTTTCGCTGTTGTAAAAAAATCCAATTTTTTTTGATAAAGAAAGTAGAAATCTTGGTTTTGTCAGCATTACATTGAGCCCTTTTTTCGTTCGAACATACTTAGATGTTTGATTCGCCGCAGCAGTATAAAAACCTATGGTTCTTAGCTTTCATATTCTGACTCCTTATATTCTGGTAGATTATCCATCGTGACCTGGCGGCTCGAAACATTCTCCTCGATAACAACTATGTTTGCAAAGTGACGGACTTTGGTATGGCATATCAAAGCTTCAAGTATGGCCATGGAAATGCCAAAAAGGTAGAAAACATTTTTTTTGTCGCTTTAGTGCGGCGTTTTTTGGAAACAAGTTGTAAGCGTCAGCATGTTCTCTGCATAAAGTTAATGTACCTCGACTACCAACAGGGTTTCACAGCTCACTTCTACAAAAAAAGTCCCAAAAACTACAAAAAAAAGCAAAACAAAAAAGAGTTAGTATTTAACAGAATAAATACTCTGGCCCGGGCATCGGGATTTGTCAATTTCACTAACTTTTTTTCGTAGAAAGTCTCGCGAAAGAAGTTACATTTTCTGTTTTCCGTGACAGCTTTACGAATGCTAACATTGGATTGACTGATAAGGGAACGACAAACGTAGCTTTCTTTTCACATTTTAACATATTTACGTTACGTAGCTTCATATTTTTTAAAGATGGCTTTGAAAAAGAAGGGACATGTGTTTTGTACGGAAATCATTTATTGGTTGTTTTTCCAGGGATGTTTGCCAATCAAATGGACTGCGCCAGAGATTCTGCTGGGAGAGCTTGCTGGACTTTCCACCTTGAGTGATGTGTACGTATAGTAATGTATATTAATCTACCAACCTAACAAACCGATCACCTTTGGATTTCTCTTTATCATTACAATTCCAAAATTCACTCAGCGACTAACTGAAGAATATTTCTGATATACTCTCGTCAGGTGGTCCTATGGAATCGTTCTGTATGAGATAGTTACCCTTGGTAAGCCAAGCTATGTTCAGTCAATACATTTAACGCTTAGAACAGCAATGCGCAAGCGCTATAGAAGTAATGCTATTTTTGTTACTATTATTTTAATAAAGATTTGTTTTAACATACTACTTGGCCATAAATATAAATATACGTATATATAAAAGATATGTATATATATAGATTGATATGTAACAAGCTATTTTGATTGTTAATCTCAATAAATGCAAAGCAAACGGCAAGTCGATGGCTTAAGCATTATTCAATTATCAGAGACTAGCATCAACTCGGACCGAAAAAAGGAAACTTTAAACTACAGTACTGTATTCAACAAAATTTGATTTGGGCATCATCAAGCTATGTAAATGTACATGCAGATGGCTTCCCTCATACATAGAGGTCGAGAAGGAACAATGTGTCTCAGCCACGGTCATTGTAGAGTTGATACATTCAGGAATGTGACATACACTTGTCCTTATGCATTGACAGGAGGAATTCCGTACGACGGATGGTCAGAAGGCATGGTAGTTGCAGAGGTCACAAAAGGATATCAGATGCCAAAGCCCGATCATGTTGACAACAAACTGTGAGTCGCACTTTTCTAGTATAATACCATCGTGTTCCTAAAAATAACCTTAGATCGAAGACAATACATTTAGCGTTCTCATCGCTGAAATCTTGGCAATAAAACAATTAAGCTGCAATGAGAAGCTTTCTGTTATGTGAATGTGAACCAGGAGCATACCGCATTCAGCTGAGATACGGCGTGGACAATTATGACATCAAAATGTATTTAAAAAACATCAGAGCGAGTGAAGTAGTGCAGATATGTTCGACGTCTCAAAACAAGTCTGAAACATTGCCCATGCTATTCTCAAAAATAGTTTCCTGTAGGAGGACCTTATTGGTATTCTTCGCATAGTCCATTAGTAAGTAGTTAAGAGTAGATCATCATTTTTAAATTTCAGGTATGATATAATGAAAAGGTGCTGGAATCGAAACCCTGACTTCCGTCCTCCTTTTGAAAACCTGCGACAAAGAATGGACAAATACATTCGTGAAGAGGTTTGTTTCTAGAAATGACAACTTCCCAATATTTCATGCATTTCAGTTATAACTTTTCAAACTTCTTACCTTGTCCCCATATATTGGAAGCAATATTTCCTAGCATTGGTTTTATTTCCATTCAGTCTATGAAAGCTTCAACTGAGACCATTCATACTTCTGGCAAGAGACATTTTCCAGCCCGTAAGGCCATTTACGAGTAATTCAACTTGTTGGCTCCTTCTGATATTTACGTCGGTTGTGATCGTCCCCAGGGCATAAAACGGCTCAGTTCTATCCACCTACTTGCAACTCCTCTATTTTCCGAGAGGAAATAAGAAACTCGCTAAGTATACCCGCGATTTTAAAACACAGAGATTCTCAGTACGCTGGGGAAGTGATCGCACTTTTCAGCTTAACTTTACAGTGTTTTTACGCTCTGCGGCTAAAGTGTAACCCCATTTGTTACTTTCTTTTAAGACATATTTGGAACTTCTTGACATGGGCGCTTATGACAAGGCAAAATACTCCAGGGTTGAAGATCTGGGAAATGAAGATGCAGGACCAAGTGAGGAAGCTGCAAAGAAGGCCCCAGCTAAGAGATTGGGAAAATGGGCCAGTGACCGTCGTTAGGGTACATAATCGTCACTTCTCGGTGCTAAACTAAGTGTAGGTTTGTGTTAGTTAAATTTCTCTCAATATTAATATTAGAAGAATATGTGAAAGCTTTGTCCTTGATTAACAAAATAATAATAATAAAAGCACAAAAAACAATTAATAAATTCTTAAAGGATGCCAGTAATAAATAATTTAATCGGTTTCACAATAAGGAAATTTGAATAGATATGAATTAAACTTCCGTCATCGATTAAATCAGAAGAGAAAGAAAGAAAGAAACAAAAAACAACTAACTTGAAAAACGGCTCGTTTATGTCGATAGCTGTACTTGGCGAGCTTTTCATTGTTGTGTTGTAAAACCATTTAGTAAATTTGTCTATAGCAGACCTGGTAAGAGATCTCCTAATGGAGATATGAAATTTGGTAAAAAATTTTATAGTTTGGTAATGAATTAGTCGTGAGGTATTAACTAGCACTTATCCCTCGACGAAGTATCTTCTTTAAATTACATATTTCATCATTTCTAGTGATTTGTTTAACTTTCAAGTTACCTTTATTTGAAAACAAGCGAGAGCATTGTTATTGACATTTACCGTTTTGCTGCTAGTATTAAATGCTTTTGTCATAAACGGAGAGAACCGTCTTAATAGAGTGTGAGTTAATTCAAATTAATAATTTTCTTTAGTGTTTTCGATTCGTATGAGAAAAATAAAACGCCATGTAAAGGGTTCATACTGTGGTAGATGGAAACAATTTTACCATGGTAAATGGAATGCTTGTTTAAAAACCGGACGAAATGAGAGCACGTATGAGCGTTTAATTTTGTACACTATCCAAACACAATAAGTTGTATTTAACATAATATAAAACACTCTATTTAATATCTGCAATAAAAAGATTAGAGGCTTATCTTATGGCTATTTATTGATTAACAAGTCAGTTGAGATTGAAACCATTCTGTATCCTCATTAAGCTTTTGGATGACGTCCTCAGACTTAAGCGATGGCCGCATCTATGAAATAGCATCTTCATGTATATCACTAAATGAGTTATCCACATTCTCAACTTTTCACACTTACGGACGAAGCTATAGCTGGTCGCGTCTTTGACGCATGCTTTATCGGTCTGTTTAGAACTGCGTGTTTGTCTAGGGGAACCTTCGAGTTTGTCATCATGATAACAAAGGAGTCAGTTAGGATTTTTCGATGTTTCGCAATTATAAAATACACCGGCGCTCGAGGAAACAACAATATTTTTTAACTGATTCGATAATTTTAAGATGTTACAGAAGGATAAGTTGTAAATGCCTCTGTTATCAATGTTCTGATCCACTGTATTGCTGAAGTGTTTCAATCCAGGTTGACTGACCATGGCAGCTTTCTCCCCGATTTATCTTACCTCTGATATAATACTATGCCGGCTAAAGACAATCGCAACTTTTTTATTATTTCTAATATATAGATTTATCCAAGCCTAAAAGGGAGTTCTCGTTAGTTTATTTTCTAGCCCCTCATTATGATAAAAACTGTAATAAAACTCTTCAGCGCTGGCTGTAGAAGAGTTTTTTCAAGGGGATTAAGAGAACAGTCCGGGGGGGGGGGGGGGGGGAGGAAAGGGAAGAATTGGCGAGGTCTGGAACCTGGCGACGACGTTCTCACAACTTGCGATAAAACGCATGCTAGTCAGCGGTATCTTTAAGCAGCTGAGGACCTTCGTTGTTGTTCCTGACTGTTTTGAGCAAATTTTCGAAGATAGAGAATCTTTTCTTCTTCAGAGGAAGTGCACGATTGTTAGAAGAATTACTCTCTAACACCCAGTTGAATTTCCTTTATTACTGGTTGAACTCTTAGTACAATTCTTACTTTCGGGAACCAGCCCAGTATTGATCTTATTCACCACAGTTCAACTTATTTCTTTCGACATAAGTCCACACTGTTCTACTTGGCTATATTCTCTGATTGAAAGATGCTGTGCATCACCTTATAAAGGTGACACCAAAGATGACACTTCTTACATCGCGATCGCTCCGTTTCAACCAGTGAATCACGTTAGAGTACTTACGAAAGTTCCTGCATACTAAGTATGCACCTTCAAATTGTTTACGCAATCACAAAATCATCTTCTACCTTAAATTTCTTAATATTAGGGTTAAGACCGGCCAGAACGAAGGCAAGATTGATAATATAAAAATTATAATTAACCTATTGGCAGAATTGAAATTACGCTTGAAAAGATAGTTTACGAGAAAATAGCCTTAGAGGATTGTTATATATAACAATAAAGTAAACAGAAAATTCGGAGAAGAAGGGGCGTACCCAAGGTGCCAGAAAACTACGTGCTATTCGCATAAGTTATATAATTACAAATTCAGTGCGGAGATGAAAAAGCATAAGCTATTTACAATCAGAGTCACCTTTTTTAAAAAGAGGTGTTGAAGGTGTTAACTTAAAATTTGAGAAATATTCTGGAATCGTGAATTTGACTTAAAGAAAAAAAAAACCAGTCTGAAAGTAATCAATAGTATAAGAAGCAGGAGTTTCCAGGAATTCCTGTGCGAGGTTAACTTTTACCAGAGAGATTTACAACTAGAAAATTGACATAATTAAAAACATAGCTTATCACAAAATAGTACAACAAGATCTAATCACCGTAGAAACGGAGCAACTGTTTCCGTACCAAATTCACAACCGCAATAAGAAAATTAAAAGGTGAAAGAAATTGTACTTAGATGAGATCGCCAAAAGGAATAAGAAATAATCAACCCGTCTTATTATAATTTTTGTATCGAATGGCTTAAAGTAATATAATATTTCCATTCTTTTTCCTAACACCAGTATAAGGAAACCCTTACAGTATTTCAGATTAAATATAGTTCTATTTTTATCGTTTAACACGATGTCGGCATCAATTGAAATTATACTCTTTTGAGCGTGAGTGATAATTTTAACTACTTCGAGTTTAGACATCAGCAGTCGATTGGAGAGTGTACACCTGATAACAGTGAATTAGTAAATCAAGACGCCAGAATCGTATGGGCTTTTCTTATATCTTCTCTTGAAGTTGCCAGGTATGACTGCTTGCCCCACCATTTTTTCCTTAACGTTTCAACCTCCTCTGTTTCGCGTAAAAATTAAAAAGAAAAGTCATTTTCAACTCGTGTTTGAACCTGTAATTTCTTAAAACTTTTCCTCTTTTGGCTATTATTCTTTCATGATTGTCCTCTGACTGGAAATACACGGCGTCTTTTTGAGATTCTTTCTGTTATTTGAAGCCCTCTACGGGCAAACGTCGTTGTAATTAAGTTATCATGCTTTAGCCATGTTAGCAGCCAAAGGGACGAGATGTAAACGTGGAATGCGAACTCTTGCATCTACGGGATTATAATTGAATCAATATATCTTTGAAGGTGGAAAACCACTTTCCCATTTTTTCTTTAGTCAATCTTGTAAATGTTTCTTTTCAAGCTAGAGTTGCAAACTCGATTCCCGGGTTGATACACGCGCATGCGATAAACACCAAACCAAATAGGATCTTTTCTTTCTTTATTCCTTTTCCTATTCCTTGGGGCGTTATTATATCGAAGCGGTCAACTGAAATTATTACGTAAAGAAATCACCTAAGTATTGTGATCATAGCTTAAGAATAATCTCGATTTTGGAAACCAGCACGTGGCAGTTAAAGGAACCAAAAGAAAGGTAAAAACGAGCGATAAATTTCGCTTTGAGTAACGACTACGAGCTAGATAACATAATCACAAAACAAGTTATTGCTTACCAACGTTCGCGGGTCTTGATTACTTTATCGAGGATTACAGTCTAACTTGTCTTCTATTCAAAAACGATCTTGATCACACGGGGTCTTATCTTGAACTGAAACGCTAACTATAATTTTCTGTCTAAAAAGAACTAATCATGGATCGTCAACCTAACCAGAAAATATTTCGCAGCTTTTCTCGGAAGCGATAACACTTAGCTTCAACGGAAGCAGTTACAAATCTTAGTTTTCCCTTTTAGGAACGAATTTCACCACGTCAAACTGGGTTTTCAATAACACAAGGGAAGCTAAAGCATTGTGTTTTATTTGTCAATTTGATTATTTTTTAATTATTTTTATTGCCCAGGTGATTTTCATCATCTTTTTCTCTCGTTATGCGATAAATCCGCCGAAACCATCTTTCAAAATAGCTTAGATGACGAAAAAAAGGTTGACACAAAATTTGCGCTTCCATCATTCGATAATTTGGGTGGCAAATGCCTTCCCTAGGAGTAAGGTTTCTTAGCTAAGTTTTTATTTTCCATTTTCATTTCTTTAACTAAGCTCGGATCTCAGATTTTTTCCCTCATGATCGAAATAACCGATTGACACAATTTTAGTTCTGAAAAGAAGTGCAGCACATTTTTCACCAATAAAAAACAACAAAAACAAAACAAGACAAAAACAAACAACAACAGAAAAAAAAATGAAAGAGGCTGTTAAGCAAGCTGGCTGAACTGCGCCGTTTTGTGCTAAACATCTAGATTTTTGTAATTTTGTAATTTTGACAAATTCACTTTTTTCCTGGCAGACCTAATATTCAAAGAACACAACGTTGCGTGAAATAAAGACTCAGCTTTTTTAGAGCTGAGCTTATCCCGTCAACCAAGTATTCAGATATTTTATGCTGACTTCTTCAAACAGTAGAGACTAGGAAGCTACAGATCCAAAAATGTTGACGTCCTCGCAGGCTGATAACGGTAGGAAAGCCACCTTCACAAATGGCGCCTGAAAGTGTCCTAAAAATAGCTAAAGCTACCATTGTTGCTGCTGCAATACTTGTGAAAAACGCACAGCACAAACAGCTTTGACATTTTCCATCAATTAAGTGCATATCCCCTTATGACAGAAGTGATGCACTCTTCAATGATGGAGAAAGCCTGGGTTTAATGGATGTTTTTCCGATAATTATTATTGCATGCTGTCACTATCTATGTCGCCTTTCGGTGTACGCGCGCGTTGCAGACCCATTTCCTCTATTTTTGCTTTAACCATGGCACTTCATTCTCTTTCAGGCTCCACGGTGCAGCTTCCATTCTCGTATCCATCAAGAATTAAACTCACCTTCGCAATCTTATACACTGCAATCAT